GATCAGTCACAACATTAACACAACAAAGTCTTACACAACGCCGCCGATCCATCCATCTACCCATAAATCGCATCGGCGAAACCATCCATCACGGCCCTTGTCAATTACGTTTGTCCGGTTTTTCCCTGTCGGGCGGCGGCCTGTCTCGGCGCTGGTGCTCTCGTCTTTGCAGCTAAATCTGCCGCCCACCCTGCCCGCTCGGCTGGAGTCCCCGTGTCTTCACTGCACTCCACCAATCACTGTATCATCCCTGACATCGCTGTGAGGCGACCTACTCCACAAGGACTAACCGAGTGACGGGCGAACCCGCCGACCTTCTGAGCGGCGCCGAGCCGAGCCGAGCTGCTTGGCGACTCTCCCAGTAACAGCGCACCCGTTAGCCCGCGCCCGGCTGGGGGTCCTGGATTTCCACGCCCTGCTGGGGGGGGGGGGTGTTTGAACACCCCCCCTTCTAACTCGGCTCCTGGGCCACGTAGCGATACGCGGAAGGCGGCGTTCGAAAGAGCGTCAAAAATAATGAGGAAATCACTTCGGTCAATTTTTTGGTCAGGTCAAAGGTCAGGTCACCAGAGGTCATTGAAGGCAAATTTTCGCCGATTTCCAGGTCGAATGTCGAAAATTTCCAAGAAGCCAACGCATAACTCGGGAACCAATAGAGCTACAGCGCCGCGGAAAAGCGCATTCGATAGCCCTATTAACGCCCTTTCTGAGTAATTTTCTCAGATTTGACCTAAGGTCAACGGTTTTGCCTGCAGGGGGCAAAAACTGCAAAAATAGCCGATTTTTTCGGAAACAGTTTTTCTGCAATAACTTTTGACCCAAGCATTGTACGAGCTTACTTTTACCGGCATCGTGTTCCTCTCGTCAAGACGCATCGAACGAACTATAATTTGACCTTGAAAGGTCAACTTGAAAATTTGATCTCAGGTCAAGGTCATGACCTGACCGGAAAGGGTCATGTTGCATATCAGTCGATCCGTATCGTCGAGCTGAACACATCTAAGGCGTTTTCATCGCTCTAGCATGCCTCTATCAAAAGTTATTTGCGAAAAACTGTTAGATACCATTCGTGACCTAAGATGACCTCAGGGCATAAACAGGGGTCACAGACACCATTTTCATGTTCAGTGTGTCTAAACCACTTGTAATTCAGTGTTTGGGAGTGTTTATAATGTCTTTCGTCCAAAACAGGCGCATTTCAATTTTCTCCCATTGACTTATAATGGTCAGGTCGCAAAATTGACCTGACCTTAGGTCATCGATATCAAAAATCTGAGATATACATTTTGTACATGCTAATGCTCTTAGCAATCGCTGAAAGTTTCAAAGCGATCGGTCACTCGGTGTAGCTATGACAGACATTGAAACTTTTTATGAGGTGAGGTCACTTCGAGTGACCTGGTGACCTGACCTTGAATGACCTTGGTCTGAAATTTTCACAACATGTGTAGAATTGATGTATGATAAGGTGTACCAAAAACGGCGGCGCTCCGCGCCGCCGTTTTTGAGATATTCGCGAAAAACCACAGGGGGGGGGGTGTTCAAACACCCCCCCCCCCCAGCAGGGCGCGGGTTAATAACCCCGCGGCCGCCAGTGAGACGGCGTTATTTCTCCGGGTGCCATTTGATATTCGGATGTGCTCATGGCTGACAAATGATGTGCTGATCACGCGCGGTCCACGGGACCGGGGGTGGGCGACGCGTGCCCGGACAGTCAGCTCGAGCCGCGCCGACAGCCCGCGGAGAGCGCCGCAGTCGGATACCAGCCGCATATTCAGAGAGCTTACTGGGGATGGTGGCGGCTTACAACGGTCTCACTGAGTCCAGGGGAACTCTCAGTAGACTTATTAGGGTAGTTGATAGCCGTAAGTGGCTTCACGGAAACAGGATGAGGCCCAGAACAATGAAGATTGATCAGACTTCAGAGCCCCCTAAGGAATGAGGATTGAGGATATGAACTCGTTCATAATGTAGGAGCCGGATCTTGCACCTGGCAAACACTGCTCCGGGCTATCTGACCCGGCCGGCCGCCGAGTTCGGACCGTGTGGACGCCGTGACCTGAGCACGGGTCATGGGGGCCGCGGCATCACTCGGCCCCCGCCCACCTGGCGCTAAAGCCGCGCCGTGGCAATCACGACGCATTGCCGGCCGGTCAGCGGCGTTGATGGCGCATTCTCAGCCGGTCGGCGGCGCGCAGACAATGGTGGCGCGGGTGGCATCGCGGCGCGGTCATGGGGTCCGTGAGGGGCTCCGCCGCAGCTCCCGCCCACGCAGCCGTTGGTTTAATTGGCTGATATCACGGATCTGATCGACGGATCACGGATACCACGGAATGGCCTATGTGCTTACAGTCGCTCAGGTGGGATGCGAAGGGATAGACCACGCGGAAACTCGGGGCTCGAATATCTGAGCACTTGATATTGTTGGTGACGAGGTCATCAAAATGCTGTTCATTCGTTTGCTGTTACCTACCTGAAAACTTTTTTTTTGGTCCTTATCTGTTTTATGTTCGTTATTGAAAAATTTTGATAGGTGTTGGTGTACATAAGTTGTTCCTGACTTACATCTTCAATAACGTTTCAATGCCCGTATCTTAGTAAGTTCGCCTTTTATGTGGGCATTTTAAATTAATATTTTAACAAAAATTATTTTAGCGTAAACCAACTACCTATTTGTACCTATTTTAGCTTGATTGCTGTTTTGAGTTTATTGTTTTGGCGTAAACTGTTATCTCCATTTATTCTTAAATAGGGGAGAGTGGGGCAAAGCGGCCACCCTAACGCTTCTCACGATGCCAACGCTTGATTTTTAAACTCGGAAAGATTCTTTCTATACCAATGTGATCCCTATTAAGTTGCCTTTTATTTCAACTGCGTTTTATTTCCAGAGGCGTTCACATATGGAAGATATTGACAAAACTTTAAACCTATGCATATTGGCCACTTTGCCCCATACCCTGGGGCAAAGCGGCCACCGGTGTCTTCTCAAGTCCCGATATGAGAAACAAAATAGTTGCCTCGTGTACGACTAGGGTATTTGATGGTGACAAGATTAAGCGAGGATGGATGTTTACTTTATCATCTTCCACCTGTAGGTAAACAAAGAAAGGATTTTCTTGAAAAAAGAACATTTAATTGCATTATTTGGTAACTCATGCAACTGAAAAGTGGCCAAGATGAATGCATGACGACACATTTGAATGTAAATAATGTTTTTTATCCAGATGGAAACAACTTATGGCCAATTGGGGGGGTGGCCACTTTGCCCCGGCCACTTTGCCCCGCGCATACCGTCCGAGACAAAAATATTCCAGCTTAGCTATTAGTGGGGTAAAAAAACATTAAAATTGGTAGAATACATGTACGATAACCATGCAATGCATGGACAAGAACGCTTATAAAAATTCCGAAAGGTTATGGAATGACATAACATTTAAAAATTGTAAACAAAGTTGGTAACCTGGCAAGAAATGCTTTTCCGTGTTTTACAGAACAATGGTGATGGGCCTGAATCCCCGGTCTGGCTCATTTAAGCGACCGTGAAGAGAAGCATAATTGGAAACCATAAATTGGAACTGACGCCAGCTATGAAGGGCTAAAACGATGGGTGGCCGCTTTGCCCCGGGTGGCCGCTTTGCCCCACTCTCCCCTACTTGCATTATAGAAGTATACGGGTATAGTCTATGAAGTATGGTGAAATGTCCTTACCTTGCACGTCTAGGCATACCGCATAGCCAAGTATCGCCAAGAGAATATGTTCTGCCTGCTTGCGGGAAAGCACTACCTACCTGTAGGATCCTTGCATATTTCTACAGAATGGTTTTAAATATAGGTAGATAGAGGAAAAGCTGTTACGTATCTAATACCTGATTATTTTTTGCGAAATCCTCTCAAATATATAATCCTCTCCTCTCCTAATCCTCTCAATAATATCAAATGTTTATCAGTTCGAATGTTTTGATTCATGAAGATTTGTGGCAATGCACCTAATGTCAGCATCGCCGATGGCCGTAATGCCAGCAAACGACAGCCCTGCTGGCTTCCAAATGGTGGGATCGGTTGTCGCCACGGACCACGGGCTCTCGCATAAGACGGTACGCGCCAAAAGCGACAGAACAAAAACTTCTCATTTGACCATCTTTTGACATAAAGAAACTATTTTCCTTTTTTATTACAGGCAATCTAAAAAAGCCCTCTCTCCATTATAGCGAAAAACGAACCACATGATACTCGGTCAATCTTCGCTGTAGCCTGTACCTATATTCGCAGCATTATTTGATAATATTGGCACGTTTGGTCATTTATTTTGCGATTTGTTTTTAACCCCATTATGCAATTAATTTTGAAAGCATTGATTAATATGTGCCTCTGATGTGCTCGGTTATCACAATAGTGAACAAAGCACTTTGACAAATCAGTGTTTATAGTTTACAAATGACGACACCTTTCGTATGCAAATACAAATTACATGAGCTTCGCCCATGAATACAGCGCGATGCATCGCCGCCCACCGTCGACGGCGTCCTTGGCAAGGACACACAGGTCTTGGCGAGCCGATACCGTTCGGAATCGGAAACATTGCAGATTAGCTGTGTTTGTCGGCATGGTCATGACGGACGCCACAAAGGCTCCGCTACCGTAGCCATGCGTCACCGTCGCCGCCGCGTCACATCTGAACTTATCACAGCGCGCCGGCCGCAGTCTGCATGGCTTAGCGCAGAGTGTCCGCGTGTGCGCGTTGCCGCGGATCGCGCACCCATGCTGTGCTGTCTCCATGGCGGCGGTGAAAAGTCAGCGGTGCAGACTTCACGGCCGGCTGCCTGCGGCGGATCCCAGGTACGCACTCCCTGCCCCGTCCCAACGCCTGGTAATCGCGCTCGGCCACGCGCCGGCCGCCGCCGACCGGCCGACCCGACCAGTGACCGTGCCCTGCGGCGCTGGCGGCTGACCTGACCGGCCGCTGCTGCCCGAGCGTCCCTCTAGCTTCCCCGGGCCGGCCCGTGCGCCGCCGGCCGCCGCGCCGTCCCCCAAAAACCCCGGCCGTGCGCCGCGCCCGGCGATTGGCCAGCGGTGGTCACGTGACCAGACGGATCATTTAGCGTGCCAGTCGGCCGGGCGCGCTAGTGGTGCGGTTGGTGTCGAGCCGGTGGGTCGTGGCGTGCTCCCCGTGCTGAGCTGACGCCTGTGAACGGGAGAGGAGCTGACCAGTGGTGTCGGCGGAGATACTATGTGCTGTGCGGGACCGGCGGTAGTGGACAGTGACCCCAGCGCCGGACGACGCACGCCCTAATGAGGTGTAACGCGACAACGCCCCATGAACATATCTAAGTAGGTCACGTTTTATATATCTTTGTCTTTTCACGTTCTTCCTCGTTTTCATTTTTATGTATCTGTTTCTATGTCTTCTCTCCCATTTTCCTGTTTTCTTTAAATGTGTCATCGGTTATTTTATCTTAGGTTTTCCGTTCTTTTTATGTTTTTCATAGTGTTCATTTCTAAACTTCTCTTTTTCGCTGCATCACAATTTTCTGTCCTACTTGCCCTGCAAAATGTAGTGCCTCGCATCTCTGCGTCTTGTTGTTTCATGTGACTGTTGATTTCGTGGCCGCCTGAAATTGCCATTTGTCTCGCTTAAGCCGTGAACCCCTTTGCTCGTTGTGGGGATGCGCTCGATTTGGCTCTAAACAGACACTTGCCACTAAAACGGCAGTAAAACCACTCAAGGCAATCAAATAAATCACTACCATAAATTAGTATAATTGAGCTATTTGGATCGCCGGTCGGCTAGGGACGCCCGCGGCCCGCTGCCTCTGCACGGCCTTGCCATTATATTGTTGTGCGCTGTCGGAGGGCCGATAGCCGATAGCGCCGCGTCCCTATCACACACCGGCGGCCCCAGTGGGCGCCCGTGCCGCTGCATCTGATGCGGACAGACGGACACGGCCGGCCGGTCGGTCGGAGCCGCGCTGCCCTCTGCCGAGCACCGCACACATTTGTCCGCGGCCCGGCCGGCGCCCCCAGACGTGCCCTGCCACCTGGACCTTTCCAGGTGGACGCTTTGGCTACAAATCGCCTTATTCCGTACTGACAAAGCCCGCCGGCGGGCGGACGGGCGCGCTTGGGTACCGCGGGCGGGTCGGTCGGCTGTCACCTCTTGTACCGGGGATGCGCCGGTTCGTTACCGGGCTACTCCCGATCGCTTTGGAAACCAATAATTTCCGCGGCGGCGGCGCCCCCGCCGCGCTGAGCCGCACGCCCCTGTCCGTGGACGGACGGACGGACTGGGACGGCGCCCCCTCTCACCTGAGGTTAGGCGGCGACTCGCTCCGCGCCTCTGCCCTCCTCCGTCACTCTCCCGGTCACCCTCCTGCTCCGGGGGCGCCGCGGCACGCGCGTTTTACGAGCGACACTCGATTAAAGACAAGGGCGCGTCTCCGACGCCATTATAGGCCCACGGCGTTTGTCCCAGCAGGAATGTTAAGTATCGTTTAACGAGCAGCCAGGATTAGGCGCCGGTGCGGGACCTTACCTGGCGGCCCTTGCTCAATACCCCGTCATAAAATGTCACCATTGTGCGCGACCGGGACCCTGTCAATCGGGCGGCCCGGCTCGAGCGGTCGCCAGGGCCTCACAGGGTCCGCTCAGGACCCGCATGACCCTCGCTCGGCCCCGCTTATCTCCCTGCGGTCCTCGTTTGGTCCTCGCGCGCCGCCCGGCCTGCTGGAAACGGCCGAGCGGCCGTCTGTCGGCTTTCTCCGTGGCTCTGCGTGCGCCGTGTACCGAGCCGCGCGCAGGACAAGCTCTACCCGCCCGGGGGACAGCTCGGGCGGCGCGCTCCCCGCTCTGGCAGACTGCCGAGAGGCGCAGCTGGATCAGCTGTGAGCCGGCCCGGTGGAATGCGGGAGCACGGGTAACACGGAACAACTTACGAAGCGGTGTCGTGCCGGCTCGGGTGACGGGGTGGTTAGCACGGACCGCCGATATCGGCCGATCGTCGTCTCCCGGACCCGGAGCGGACGGCGGAGTCCGTCCTCCGCCGTTCGCCGCCGCTGCGCCGGCTGCAAGCTCTGACCGAATTCCATGGCTGGCGTGGCTGTCTGGCCGGCCGGGCGTCTGTTTATGTCTCGGCGGTGATGACGACGCTGAGCAGCTGGACGGCTGCGCCGTGACGCGGCAGCTCGCCGGCGTCACGGCTGATCATGCAGCTGCACGGCCGCCGGTCAACCGTCTCACTCAGCCTGCCGGGCTATTTAGGTATGCAGACAGAATCTGGGACTCCCGCGCTGCCTGCCGGCGATAGCATCGTCGGCAGAGACGGCCGCATCGGCATCGAAATGAAACTCATCCCGATTGGCATCGAACCAGCCGCGCCCGACCGTGCCCAGTAATTACTTCAGCCGCTTGACGAAACCATTTGGCTGACCAGCTCCGCCGCCGGAGAGGGGCGTGGAGACTAGAACCGGTATTGGACCTGAGGTTGGGTTGGTGTTGGGCCTGGAGCCGGTGTCTGTCCGATCGGCGCAGCGGTCTGCCTGTCGTCGGCCGTCAATTCGCCGGCGCGCTGTCCTGTCTGGGTCAGGGCTTCCCGTACCGTCGTGTGCCCCTGATCTTTCCGTATGCTCGCCGCCTGTCATGTCCCGGTCGCCGGTCGACACGACAAAGCGGCGGTGGCTTGTCTGTCCGATACGATCGCTGGTCGTCTGTGCCGGGGCGTCGCGGCCCCTGCAGCTGTCACATTCACTTGGCACGTACCGGGTGACCGCCACTGCTCCGGCGGACTGCGCGCCCCTCGGCTGTGTGCGTTCGACATTAGCGGCACCGGGGGCGGTCTCTGGCGCTGGTGGGTGTTTCCTGTCTATAGAGGATGGAGCTCACCGTCTGCAGACAGTGTCTGCGCTGTCTGCAGACAGTGTCTGCGCTGTCTGGGCTCGGCTTGCCAGCGCGGCCCGTTAGACTCTCTAAATGCCCCCAGTAGCCGGTGCTGAGTCCTTGCCCACGCTAATGCCCCGACCGCCGAGAGGCACCCACTGCACTGTCGTCACATTTACATCAACGGAAACAAGTTCTTTTATTATTATTTGCCAATAACTTATCGACGAGTGGCTATTACGCTAAGCGGGTAGCGGGGAGCGGCAATTAATCCATAAATATTCGGCTCACGTCAGTTGCACTGCCGTGATTGCTGTTTTGCGCCGGCGCTGTGCAGTCCGCCGGCGCCGCACGCGTCCCCGCCCGATGACGCATAGCCCGGCTGGCTATATGATCTTCGGTAATGACCGCCCGATGAGCAGCGGCTTTGGCCAAGCTGTTCATCAAACGGGCCGCGCGGAGCTGCCCGCGCCGCCGCCGGCCGGTTCGGGGTACCGCCGGTACTGCGTACCGCATACTCCAGTACCGGCCGCAGGGAGAGGTGTCTGAGATACCGAGTCTGTGGTGCCCTGGGTGGCCTGTCTGGTCTGTAGTCCCCGAGGGCAGTGTAATTCGCTCTCTCGGCGGTGTCGTGATCAGCTTGTCCGACTGCCGCGGCGTGTGCTGTGACTGAGGTCAGTTGTGAAGGTCAGTTGTATCACTGAGCAGTGACACTCACTGACCCAGTGGTTGTGCCCGGTGACCCTGACGGACGCTCCGACCTCTCTCGGTAGCAGCTTTTCGCCGACCTCGACCGGCTGCTGCTGACCTCGATTTTGATCTTCAAATCATCGACTAGCCTCATCGATCTCTGCTTATCTATATTGACCTTCTTGGCTGATCTTTATAGGCCAGTGCTGATTTTTACTGATTTGTGCTGGCTTAGCTGACGTCGACTGGCGTTGATGGCCTCCACCTGTTACATTTTATTGATATTGACCCCCGCATAATCATCTAAACGCTTCCTACGTTCGTTGGTTTTGTCCAACTTTTGAAGTTTTTCTCGCAACTGTCGGTATCTGCCGTTGTGGGTGGGTGGTATCTGCTGACCTCTCTGACCTCTGGTGACCTGGGCCGGCGTGCTCCCCTGTCGAGGGGGCGGTGAGATAGAAAGGACGCTGTCCATCGGCCACCCGGCTCATCAGGCGGCCGGCGGGCCCCCGCTGGCCTGTCGGCCCCTGTCAGAACGCGGCTCGTTAAAAACGCCACCCCTGACAGCCGATGAGCTTGCAACGACGCGCCCGCCTCCGCCGCCGGTTTCGAAAGTGCGCGGCCGGATTGGCGGCGCCGGGCCGCTGGCGACTAACTGGCCCGCTTTGAGCGGCTGCGACGGCCCTGGGTGGTGGTGGGTGCTGGCACCGGCACGAGCCGCGACGGCTCCGCCCTCGGTGCCGCTCCGGCGGTCCCCTGGTGTGGTTATCGGTTCCCCGGAGGTGTCGCTGCCCCGGTGATCTGTGGTTACTGGCCCATCGGCGGTGTCGCGACGCGGAAAACAAACGCGGCCTTTGTTTATGCATACGGCGCTCGGCGCGGCGCGGCGGCCGACCTTGTCTGCATAGCGGAGTAGAAATTAACCTCTGACCCGAGAGTGGCGCGCAGAGGTACTATTATTTATGGTAATCCCGCGTTGGCCGCGGTCGGTTGATCGCCGCTTGGCGTGGCCGGCGGACGACGAGACGAGACGCCGCTGTGGTGACACGCGCACAAAAAATCGTTCGAGATGTCCTGGGGTGCCTGTCTACATCAGCGGGCGCCTGTCCCCTGGGTGGGGCGTCGGTGCGCTAACGGACCACGTCGCACGACTTTATGGGCGCTGTCAGCGACTGGAGGAGCTGCCGGCTCGTCTCAGGTCACCTGCTGTCCTCGGCTGCTCCTCCTAGGGCAGTGACCTCCTCCCATGGCAGAAGCACCCTCCTCCCAGGGCAGTGTCGCGGGGACGCTGGCACGTGTCACACGGTGGCCGTCTCCGCCAGTCTCCCGGAACATCAGATGACCCCACCGGGAGACAACGCCTCACGGCAATTGCGAACTCCACTTTTTAACGGTTACTATGCAGTTTAGACCCAGACGATCGACATTGAACCCTCGGCTCATCACGATACGGCAGAAGCTGCCAGTTTTGTGGAAACCTTAAGTGCATCACGTATGTCTGCGGTTGTGCACGATTCGCTGGAATCTGACTAGCGTAACCTGGGCGCTGAGTACGATTCGAAGTCTGGGAGTCGGTGCCGGGCCTCCAGTGCCCTGAGGCCGACCTTTTGTGACATCCCTACCGCCAGCGTCAGATCGTATCACCAAAGGGGCGTGTAGTGCGCGGCTTAATCGCCCGCGCCGCGTCGATTCCGTCCATCGCGGTGCGCCGATCAACCGACAACAGCGCGCGCCCATTTACTTTATTGCCGGCGCGTCTCGGTGGCTTCTGACCGCACCGACGGCACTGACAGCCCGCTGAAAGGGGTCGGATTGTTAGCGGCCCACGGCCGTGAAGGAATTTCTCAGTGGCGAACCCGCTGACCGCTGCGCCCGCCAACGGTCGGCGGCGTTCGAAAATTTCACCCGGATCAAAAACATCTGAATGATTTCATCTTACAGTGTTGTACCATTTGACCATTGCTTGGTTTTGCGTCATTCGGAGGCTCCAACTCGGATGTTGCAATCTCGGCGATAGCTGCAATGATTTCGCGTGACTCCGGTTTTCGACTCGGCTGCCCCCTCCTGAGGCGCCGTGGGTCGTCTGCGGGTGCCGCCCCAGCTCCGCCCGTGGAGCCATTAGGCACGGGCGCGGCGGCAGGCGTGCATTATGACCGTCTCCGGCGGCTGACACACGCGCCGGGCACGCCGCCTCTCTGCTGAGTAACGGTCCCTGGACCGACTGCAGTCGCCCGCGATCACCTCCGCTCGGCCCCGACTGCCGCGTCCATCACCGCTGATTGACTGGTGACCGGGCCCGGTCCGGCTCCGGGCCCAGCCACGTCCGGAGCCGGAGATTTACACCCGTGTCCTCGCCCGCTCTCCAATAGGTCCACGTGCCCGGGAGAGACCCTCGGAAATGACCCTCCTCCGGCCGTCCTCATAGACGTCTATTTTTATTTTCATTTCTCCTTTTGTGCGGCGTGTCGTAAATTCGAGACGGCGCCCCGGTTCTCGAAGAAAGGTGTCGATAATCACCGCCGCCCTGGTTTATATGATTATAAAGTTAAATGCCGGTGTCTGGCGGGGATGGTCGCCGGGGGAGACGGGAGGCCTCGCCCGTCTGCCCCGGCCGCCGCGGTCTGAACCCGAGAGCGACCATAACGCGCCCGGCTGCATGATTGCCGACTCGCTCTGACGCGATGGCCCATTGCGATGCGGGAGCACACCCGTCACGGCTCGGTATGTTGCGCGCCACGTGCGGGCATGGCCGTGCTCGGCCGCGGCGGGCACGGCGGCGAGCACGACCGGCGTGCTGCCGACCGAGGGACCCCGCCGCCGCCCCTCTGTGACCAGCGCCGTCTGACGCACCCAGTACACCCGACAAAGCGTATCAGAACAATGGCTCCAGCAAAAAGTGACTGCGATGGATTGCGGCGGTGGCACATGGGCGCGCCCGGCCGCGGCGCGGCGGAATGGCCGCAGCGGCGCCGGCGCGGCGACCGCCGGGTCGCGCCCCGCTGACCGGACGATCAATAAGGTTTACCGCGACCGGTCGCGTGCCGCCCAAGGTCGCGCGGGTCGCCGCGCCGCCACCGTCGCTGCTGCCGGGCGACGTGCTAAGCCTCGATACGAGTCGGTCGGTCGGCCGCCTGCCGAGGCCGGCGTTCGAGGAATCGGTCTCGGCCGGTCGCCGCTATCTATTCCGTGGGGCGCTCGGCAGGCGACGAAACCCCGGGGAGCCTGCTCTGAGGGGCGCCAAGCGCCTGTCGACTGCTAACAGCTGCCACAAACACAACTGGAAATAGCGGCCACTTAGCGGCCGACTCTCCACCTGTCGCTGTGTCCGCCTCGCACGCATGCATTAGGTCGCAGAGAAAGCCAAACAGGCCATTGCGCTGTCTATTGAAATGCATGAGTTTCGGTGCCGGTCAGCTGTGCGCCGGTCGTCGGAGATCGCGATCTCGGCGCGGTGCGGCCGACGCGGCGCACTCGCTGATTGAAATGAATTTAATTTGCGACCGCCGGCACCGGACAATCGATGGCGTTATCCCGTACGCCGGCCGACGCATAAAATTTTCACACGTGGAGCCTCGCGGCGGTGTGCCGGCGCTCTCTGCGCTCCGCTCGCCTGCGCGCTCTCATATATTTCGTCTGCGCCGCGCCGCCGTTCGTCTCGATCGGCTGCAGCGACTTTTACACCGTCCAAAGATGGCCGTCAATACGTACGAGTCGAGTTTCATCGCGCCGTCAGTGGCTCCGATCGCTCGACACGGGCTAATTGCAGGGTGCGCGCCATCCCATTCGCGGGCGTGCTTTCACGAGTGCACCGCGTGCAGACGTTGATGGTGACGACCATAGCCGATCTCAGACGATTGCTAACGACAGATTTATAATAGGATTTGACTGGCCCCGGCCCCGTAGACAGATGTCGGCCGCTGCCGACTGTCTACCAGTGAGTCTCGTCGTTTGCGACTCTCCTAGCCCTCGCACAGCGCTCACAGCCCGCGTAGCCGCTGTCGGGGGCGCCCCGAGGAGAGGTCTCGTGCCTCGCGGCCGCCGACAGCCCAGAGTGGGCTGGAGGCCGTGACACGGCTACTGCGTCTGCGGCTCGGCCGGAGCGGCTCGATAAGATAGCTGTGCTGTACTGTCGGTATGCGGCGGACTTTGGCGCAGCGTTTCGCCGCAGCCCGGCCGGCGCCGCTGAGGGGAGGGGCGCCGCCTGAGGTCTCCCAAAACTGTCACTGCAAGTACACTGTGACCCCGGCTCGGCTCGGCCCGGTGCGGTACGGCCCGCGCTGCGGTCGACCCCGGCGAGGGGAGCGACCGGGCGCCGGCGGCCAGCCCGGCGCAAACGCGCCAGACGCGCGCCGCTCGAAAGCTGCGCAAATATTTGCCGGCCTCTCCAAGCGCGCGGCCATTTTGTGCGTCGATAGCAGTGCGTGCGGTGTGCGTGCAAGTGGGAGCGCGCAGCAACGCGCCGGCGCCTGCAAATGGATGATTAAACGAATCTGTGTGTGACTGTGTGCACTGTGCGCCGACTGTCGGCCGACCGTGTCGCTCCGGCACTGACTGATCCCTCCCCTGTGACTGATTTCCTTGGTACTGACTGATCTTTCCCCTGTTGCAGGCTTGGGCCACAACTCGTTTTAGTTGCAACTCTTCTGATGATGGTAAGTGCCTACCAGCGGCGCCGGCCCGGGCTTCTCTGGAAGCTACTTTGGTGTCTGGTATAGTGGGGCCGATTGCATCCGTACATGCTTGTCGCTGCTCAGATGACAGTCGCCAAATAAGTGCTCCTCTCTGATAAGCACGGGACTGTTCTGAGAACCAGCTAGTGCACTGGTGCTCATGCACCGTTTGGAGCTGTATCCGACTGCATTAACAGCAGAAACCGCTCATAGGCTTGCATTGAGACTAGACGGGTTTAAGAGGGTCCGGTCTGGGTTAGGTACCTGTCGCTACCCAGACAGTCGATTGATCGACGGTCTTTGTGACCTGTAACTATACCTCTGACAGCTACGTCGGTGACCCTCACTGTGACCTTCTGTTATCAGTTCTTGATGTGACCTTGTAATGTGATGTGATTGAACTCCGTTATGAGGCCTCGTGGGGTGACCTTGTGATATGACCTTGTGGAAAATCGTGTTTAGGCGAGAACCTGTGGAGTGTCCTTGTGATATGGCCTCATAACTGGTGCCCGACTACTTCAGATTGATAAATTCGAGAGTTCAAAAGAGGTTAACGTCGCAATACAATGCATACAGAACCTGACCCGTATCAAACAAGTCGAGTCAATACATGGAGAGCTATGGCTGTAGTGGTGGTTTTGCAAGCTTTCGCTGTGGATAGAAACAGTGGCAGTCATGTGTTACCTAATCGTTTATCGTTGCGCGGCTATCTTAGCCCACGGTCTTATCTCGCTCCTCGGCGCAAATCGTACACTCTCTTTAAACCCATGGTGCACTTGGACTGTCGACCATTTTTTGCGTTCTTCATAACCCTCACCCTGTGATCCCCTCGCCTCACGATGCTTGAACCCCTTTGTAGTGCCTCTGACCCCTACCGGTCAACGCTGACCCGAGTCCCCTGACCCTGTCCCTCCCCTTGTCTGACCATCCCCTGACCCGTGACCCCTGACCCGTGCCCCTCCCCGGTCTGACCTGACGCCGTTGGCCGCAGTTACTCACCGTCGGGTGCTCGGCGATGCCCTCCATTCCCGACGATCACAACCGAGCGTGTCGAAAGGCGTCGTGCACGTACGCCCACCTGTTCGTGCCACGACGCTGCAAGTACGACAGCCTCGTCTCAGTCTACCGAAATGGCACGGTGGACGCCAGCTCGCGCGAGAAAACCCAAAACAGTGAGTGACGACTGGCGGGGCGAGCTGATGGGGTGGAAAGTTGGGTGGTGTAGTTAGGTTTGGTGTGATGGTTGTGGTTATGGTGAAGTTCGATGGGGTCTGGGTCGGTGATAAGATGATAAAATCGAAGAGATGTCGCTTGAGGGCTTGTCTGATAGAGTGGGCTGTGGAGGGAGTTTTTTATAGGCCTGTTTGATGTGCTGTTGACGTTGTGATGGGCTGACGCCTATTGTTGATTTGAGGCGTCATATAAATATTCTAAATGCTTGGGTGAATGTCGTAGCTGTTTGTAGCACGAGATGGATTACTATTAAGTCGTTCCGAGACTTCTCCACATTACTCTTCGACTGATGTTCTCTTTCAAAACTGTCACATCACTTCCTTCCCCACATCCCTCTGAAGCTGCGAAGCCGAGTGCAGGTGCCCTGTGGTGCCCAGTCTCCCGGTGTGTGTTTAGCCCCCACCCGCCCAGCTCCACCCCTCCCGCGGGTCCCTCTGTGAGGCCGAGCCGCTCTGTGTGCCACGGCCTACCACTAGGGCACTGTTCGAAGAACTCCTCTATCGGAGCAGACAGAGCGGGCCGCCGACGGGAGCCGGGACAGAGCGGCGAGAGCGGCAATCGCGGCGCAGAGATAGCGCGGCTACCAATGTGCCGCGGCCGCACCGTGTGTTGACTGAATGGAAGGAGGCTGGCGATGGTGAGCGAACCGCCGCGCACCTGGGACACGATAACGACGGAATTCGCCGGGATAAAAAGTGAAATGGCATTCGCTCGGCGGAGCGGGAATGTGACAGAACAGCGATACGGTCGCGGTGAGTGGTGCGAGGAGAGCAGAGAACGCGTGTCGAGAGCACCTCGCCAGACCGCTGGGACGCGACGAAAGCCGGCGGCCGGCCTCATTACGTAAGGTGGCCCATTCCCCGTTAAGGGACAACAAATGCCTTCATCTGGGCGCGATTCGTATGCCCATTTAGGACATGAATCCATTTTCGTGCAAACGGTTTTATATCCTGTGCCGACACCTCCCTGCGACTATTAATTTGCTTTAATATCAGACGTAGCAGCCGAGGCAACTAGTTACAAAGTAGCGCCTGTCTAGCCTAAATATGGGTTTGTATGCAAATACGGCGCCAGTCTAGAATTAATAGCTTCTCGTCTCTGAAGGGACCGACCTTAGGCTTAATTAAATCATGCGACCGTTTGGCGGCCTTACACTGGTGGGTGGGATGGGTTCCCCGCCCGCACCGTCCCGTCAGCCCCGGCGGCCGCGTGTGTTTTGCTCTCTAGTGTCGGCTCTCAGCTCCGACCCGTTTCCACCTCGGGTTTCTATCCTTTCTCGCGTGTGGATGTGTGCCCCTTGTGCTGGTATCCATCGCTAACAACAACCGTAGTCTCTATATCGATCGGATAGCGGTGATCGGCACACAAATCTGGCGCACCAGAATCGCTGTGCGCAGCAATCGAATCCCGTCTCACGTCTCACGACCTTGGCTGACCGCCCGCGAGGTAAACAGCAGCTAGAAAGAAACACCTTCCCAGCCTTGGCTTAGGACGGGCCGGCGGCGGCTTAACACCCCGCGTGCGAAAGACCGGACAGGCTTGAAATCTCTGCCGGCTCCAGCCCCCGCGGCAGGCGGCGCCGGTCAGCCGTGGTGCCGGGGCCCGGCTGGGGGTCTGTCCGCCGCCGCCTACTGCTGGCCAACCGGACAAAAACGCACCACTGAGTTACGACTGGACCGTGCCGTTTGCCATGCCGAAATGGGTGCCTTGCATATTTGCCGATCTGTCGAGGTGTCCGGTGTCTGCGGGAGGCGGCGGCGGCGCCGGGGCGGGGCGGAGTGGCGCGCGCGCTGCCCTAGTAATCGAATCACCCCCGCCAGGCCGGGCGAATGGGCCGGGCGCGTGGCGGCCGCTCAGCACCGGTCAGGGGTCCGCTATTTCCATAGGGGCGCACTCCGTGTCGTAATCGGAGTGTTAGCGCACGCTGGGTGCACCGCTCATCGGAATTTCAAGTCGGAAATGTAATGTAGCAATTGTTGTTCTCTGAGCGGTGCGCAGCGGGGCGCCGTCTCATGGGTTTATCGGCGCTGTGACCGTTTTTGCTCGGAGGTGATTAGCACCGGTGAAACCTTAGCAGCACGCCATCAAAGCGGGTGCACCGCCGGAGCAGGTGCAGCGGCGGCTTACCGGGAACAGCGCCGGCCGGCAGCGAAACTCTGTCAAACCCGGCAGATAGGAGAGGTGCGCGCAAAAAGCGTCTTCCACCTGTCGTGTCGATTAGGTGACCTGTGCGGTGTGCGGCGGACGGACGGCGCGGAAAGACGGTCGAGAGGCCGCCAGAGCCGGCCCGCTGGAGACGAGGAATGTTATCGGACCGATGGCAGATCCGGACGGAGGAGCTGCAGCCGCCGAGCGCGATTACATCCCGATAGGACGCCTTTCGGCCGGTGCAAATCACACGCGCCGCCGCCGACGTCGGCGCGGCACTGGTGCACGAGCCTTCGTGTTCTGTTTTCGACGGCACCGGCTGAGTGTTTAAGAAGCGGCCGGCTCCTCTGTTAATTGCACTCTGATTCGTTTGCTCTGTGCCCTTTTTGTTCGCGTTCCGCGGCGCAGTTGCGCTGGCAATGATGTCGAGTCACAGCAGCACACAGCGGATATGTTTCCAGTGGCCAGTGTGTGCTCTACGCTGCGTCGCGCTCGACTGGTGCTACCGCCGTGTGCGACCATGCAGTCGCCGCTATCACCACGGGCGCGGGTGCTGGCGCCCGCGCCGCGTCGCAGTCTCCATTCATGTCCGGCTACTGGCGCGCTCAATGGTGGTTGGCCGGCGGCGGTGCCGACTCCGTCTGACGTACTCCGGCCCTGGCACTGTTTGCTCTCCGCTGTGTCAACACGGGCCGCCAACAGGCTGACGTCTGTTCTCTCGGCTCCTGTTACCGCCCCCGCCCCCGCCCCCGCCGCCTGACCAGCTGCGTCACTGACGGTAGGAAGCGCGAGCGGCTATCCGAAACGCATCGGCTTTTTGCTGCGCCGTCGGAGGTCGTAGCTTGCATGTTGGACATTGATGTGATATTGATCAGGCGTCGACACGAACGGGGGGTGCCGATCACCGCTTACCGCCCGCCGCTCCCCGCCCACCGCCCGCCTGCCCTACAATCCACCGCCCACCACCCAGCACCCAGCGTTCCGTAGTCCACCGTCCTCACTCCTCGCCCAGCGTCCAGCGTCGGTAGGATTTTGCTTCTGTGCGGTGACTAAGAGCGGCACGCCGATGGCCGGTAGCGGCGTGTCTGCGATCACGGCGCGGCGGCGTTAGTGGCGCAGCACGGCGCCAGTTTTTGCCACACGCCGTATCAGCGCAGAACGGCGGCTCGTCAGCGCGCACAGCTCACGTGACGGACGAAATTACAGGGCCGCGCCGCCGCGCCGGACGTCGGTGGCGCGATGGACAGAGCACTTAGCCGGCACGGACCCCACCCGGCGCGGGACGACGGGCCGGCGGTCCGCGGGGCCCACTGACGGCTGTCCTCTCTGTGTTGCAGATCTACTGCGGTTCCAGACCGATATCAGCCAAACGGAAACTCAGGAGCAGGGAAAGCTCTTCATTCACATCTACAACCAGAGGGCGAAGAGGTACATCTGCTTCTCGCGCTCCGGCAGAGTAAAGACCCGGGTGAGTGATTCTCTCTCTCTCTCTCTCTCTCTCTCTCTCTCTCTCTCTCTCTCTCTCTCTCTCTCTCTCTCTCTCTCTCTCTCGCTCTGTCAGCGGGCGGCCGGACCTCGTTCGACGGACGGGGGCGGGTCGGCCGACCGGCCGTCGAGGCTAGATCGAGTCGCGTCGGCGAGAGTCAACACCGGAGACGGATGGCCGGCTGCCGAAATTGGCCACCGGTCCGCCCGCTCTGTTTGTCCCGTACGCTAATGGTGTTTGTATGTAGGAATGTATGTAAACCGCCCCCCCAGTGATTGACTGGCGTCGGACGGGACGCTGACCCGCGCGCCCCGCGTCCTCTCGCCGCGCCGCGCACCGTTTGCCCACCGCACTCGACTCCCACGCGATTAGAACGGCTATCTCAATCGCTGGTCAGACGGCGCGGCGGTGACGGACGGCCGTCCACGGTCAATCTGTAATGGGCGCTGTCCGGGCGGGCCGGCCGAGACTGTCCTGTTTTAGGGCGGCACGTCTCGGCTAATGCGCTAACTGGCGGTGTGGTGACGTGTTGGAAATGAGAGGCGACGGCGGCGGCGGTGTCGGTGTCCGGTTTGATCTGGCGCCGCCGCGGTGGTCCCAGGCGCTAATTAGACGACCAAACTGAGCAGGGAGGGCCGCGCCGCCCGCCCGACGGTGCCGTCACCGCCGCAGACACGTCCGGATCTCAGAGACCGACAGAGTCTGCGGGTGCGCCCCCCCCCCCCTCCCCCGAGCTCCACCGGTTCATACCCTGGCAATCACAAGGGCACACTGCCAGCCGAGCCTTCAAAGCAGGAGCTCCAAATATCCACAGTTGATGGTACGGAGACTTTACGTCTGTGGGTCATATAGGACGGGATGTGGCGGAAGAGACTGGGTATCTATCTGGTGACCCCTGCTCTGGGACGACTGTTTACCGTCGCCGCGCTGTCTGCTCGGGAGTCACGCTGCGTGTCGTGCGTGTCGAGCTGGACAGGCGGGTCGCCGTGTCCCGGGTCAAACGGACGCACAACGACGATGAATATGCAGTGGATGTACTCCGGGAGAGGATGGGAACGGGAGGAGAGGAGGAAGGTTGACGGGAGGAGGGGCACGAGGAAGGGTGTGAGGACTGGGAGGAGCGGCGCGGACCGGAGGACGACCACCCGGGTGTCTGTCAGCGGCTCGGCCGCGCTGCTCAGAGCTACCCTGTGATTTGGGCCGGCCGTCGGGGTGGCCGACCGCGCCTCCCCGGTCCAACTGACACCGGCATGACGGAAAAACAGCGCCCACCCGCTCATTACCGGCAAAACACGGCTGTGCCACGGCCTCGTGAAATTAACCAGTGTTAATTACCCGAGCGGACACTGTGGGAAGCTGCTGTCGACGCTGCCGAGAGAGCAGGGGAGAGAGAGTTAAGAGCAGAGGAGAGAGCGAGGGCAGCGAGAGAGGACGGTCCAGGTCCGGACGGTGGGACCAGCGGCCTCCACCTCCTGGGCCCAAAGAACGCTGACGCGCCGTCAGCGCGACCCGACTCCAATGTCGCTCCTCGAGCCGCCCGCGCGCACCCGGCCATTTGTCCGTGTTGTCCCCCCACAAATAGCCGCGTTTTTGCATGTCGCATTGTCTTTGACTAATTTTCCTTTTCGTACAATGAAGAAGCGACTGCCCCTTGGACCTGCCAACTTTTTTGGCGCGCCAGTCACGGCGGCAAATATTGACACGGTAGCTGTTCTGTGAAAAGGCGATCCATCATGATCGCCGCGTGTCGCGCGAGTCGCCTCGGTACGCCGCTCACCTGACCCCGGGCGCGGCCGCGCGCGCGCCACCTGTTTGAGGTACTGTCACCGACACTGTCATTAGTGGGAATCGCGCGCGGCGCGCACTTAGCGCCGCCGCTGAGGGCGTGAAAGCGACCGCTGACAGACGGCGTCGCGCTGTTGTGATGCGGCCGGCCGCCGGCGGCGGCGCCCGCCGATTGAACCAATCGCCGGGGCGAGACGGCCGGCCGGTCGGGCGGCTTCTTTATCGATTGTATCCGGCACCTGATGATGGCTCGATGGCCGCCGGCGGCGGCTGTTGTTGGCCGCCTGTTTACACCTGTCCGGCCGCCTTATTGATCACGGGCGGCCACTGTTTTGATGTCGGCACACAGTCTGTGACGATAACGACGCTCAGATGCGCCGCCGTCGCCGCGCCCCGCGCTGCGTGCGCCAAAAGTGGCGCACGCAGCTGTCGGCGCAGATGAGAATGACCCAATTGTGCGCCGTTAGGAGGCTGAGGAGGGCGGCTGGCAGTTGGCGGTGGCTGCGGCGCACGCACACGGTGCTTCGGTCAGGGCGTTACCAGGAGAGCGCCACGGTCGGCGCCGGTGCGCCGGTTTCACCCACGACCGCCTGTGTACGCGCACAGAGCGCCGCACTTGACACCGCCGCGCCGGCGCCTCACGCATATAATGCGCCACGCATATTATGCCCATCACATCTGCATGTGAATGGTGGAGTCTGTAGCGCGTCCGGATGACAAAGCGGACGTCGAAACATATCTGGCCAATGGAGACGGAGAGGCGTGGGAGGCGTCGGCTGGAGAGGACGCCGTGACAGCCGGCGGGGCCTTTCACCGTGTCTCTGTGCGCCGCCGAGCCGCCCGTGCCGGCCGGTCACAGGGCCGACCCGGCTGCTGAGGTCTTCGCCGAACAGTCGCGCCCGACCTCTCGATGTCCGTGTGGCAACGGCGCGCTGACGTCCGACAGCCGCCCGAGTCCGACCGACGGCCTGCAGAATGGCAAGATTTTAGTGTTTGGACAATACCAGAGCAAACACTCGTTGGCGTTTGCTCAGACTGCGCTGGCGCCAGGGAGGCGGTGGCTGCGGCGGCTGTGTAGACTGCGGTGGTGGCGGCTCGCAGCAGTGCTGCCTGGATGGGTCGCCCGGTCCCTCGCCGCGCCGCGTATCTAACAGCTGGAACAGGACGTGCCGGTCGGTGGTATTTATGCGGTTTGAGGAGCTCCGCCCTTCGGCGCGTGCCGGGCGGACGCGCCGTTCCATGGCCGATGACAGCCTGGCCTCCGACTCGGTACCACCGTGTGACCGTCACCGTTTCCCGGCATGACACCGCGGCCGGAGCGGCGGGTCTGCGGAACGGAGGAGTCCGCCGGTGCAGTGTCCTGTCATCTCACGTTCTACGGGAACGTCTGACGAGCTGGCGGTTCGTGCTGACCGTGACCGCGTGCGGCGGGCATCGTGAGGCGCTCGTCAGGCCGCCGTGAGTCGTGACGCGCGCTGGTAGGAGCCGCCCGCCGTCAGAAAACTCACCACGTCATCACTGTGGGCAGCGCCGGCGAGAAGAGCAAATGTTATCGAAATGTCAGCGAGTTCGCAGAACCTCTGCATAATGAGGCGGTGAAAACCATATAGACGCTCACTTAGCTGCCAAAAAGGCTATCGGCGCGGTGATTGTTGGGGAAAGTCCAAGGACGTTAGGTACGCGCAGGTTGAGAAACTCACAAAAAGGGGCATAACTCTAGCACTCTGGACGTAACTCGGCCGGTGTTGCTCTTCTCGTTTTGCGCGTAGATCAGGCTTAGCGCGGTGGAAGCGATGAGTGTCGCACAACAGGCTCGTAAGCCGCGCGGTCGGAGCTCGGGCACGGCGGCTCGCTAAGCGTGACAAATCTGGAGAGCGCCGGCGATGTGTATCACTTCGCGGGACGGAGGGGGGGGGGGGGGGAAGGGAGGAGTGTCATCCGTTCCACTCGACTGTGCCGCTGTCCGGTCGTGTGTCTGTCTGTCTGTGTATGTTCACCAACCCTGTCGTGCTGGCACCTCTGACCGGTCCCTCTCTCTCGCTGTTGCAGAAGCGGTTGCCGCCGAGCGGCCGGGGTCGGCACAGTCGGCTGACGTGCCGATTCGTGGAGCAAATGCCCAGAGACGAGAGCGGCCACCTGTACACCATGTACGTGGCCGACGAGCCGCGCCGGCCCAGCAGGCGGGAGCGCGTCATTGCCTTCTGCAGCGGCGGCCAGGCCAGCCTGCTCAGGCTGCCGTCCGCGCACCGCATGGCCAGGAGACGTCTGCGACAGTGTGACGCGCGCCGGCTGGCCGGCAGGCGCGCCGCGCGGCGGCGACACCGGCAGAAGCGCGCCGCCGCCAACCGGCAGCGCCGGCGGCGTCGGCAGCGTCGGCAGCGACGCGCCCAGTGCCAGTTCGTGTTTATGAAGCAGCCGGTGTCGTCGTACCGGGACGCCGTGCGCGCACTCTGACTGCCAGCCGCGCCCAAGCGCGCCGTGCCACGTACAAAGGGTGATAGGCGGCCAGGACTTGTGGCGGCCATTGTTATGTGACTGCGTGATGCGCGGTGCCATGTGTTTGTATGTGAATGTGCGTGCGGCGCACCAGTGCGTGTGTGTCTGTGCGTGCGCGTGCCATCGTTGTTTCACTCATTTGCTCTGTTTTGCTCAAAGCCATCCGATGTTTGTCCCAGCGCAGTGGCGGACCAGCTCGTTAATAATCATTACACGTCATAGTAGACTATCGCACTCGTCGGCTTTGCGCTTCAATGGACTCTTAATTTCATTACTTCCCGCCAGGAACGGCGGCTGGTTGAATTTTGGCGCGACGGAGCGGTGAATTTGGCGCGCCCAGGCCAGGTGCCGGCGGGAATCAATTTCCACCTCTCGACTGCGACGCCCGTCAAAACAAAACCAAATTAGCCGGCTTCCGCACGGCGCGTCAGCTCTCCGTGCCAGATGGACGGGTTTAATTAGCGAAAACAGGGCCCAACTGCGCGGCGCGCGCGCTCGACCGCCGCCTGCCGGACCCCTATCACCGGCCATCTCCCGGCGGCCGCCGCGCCGCGCTGTTAATAGCCGATTAACGCGCGCGCCCGCGACACCAGGACGGCGCGCATCGTCCGTAACAGCTCCATCGGCAGCGGGGCGCGCCCGTCGCCACCGGCTGAGCGTGCGCCGCCGTCAGAGCGGCCCGTGCGCGCCGGCGGCCGCCGGTCTGTCGTGCCGCGCCCCGCCCCGCGCCGTAATGTCAGGGTGTCGGTGGTGTAATCGCCACTGCGCCGGACACCGGCGCGGCGCCCGGCATCATTATAAATGACCGCCACTTCCTCCGGTAAACAGGGCTGCGGCAGCGGTCCACCGGCCCTGCCCGCACCCGCCTTCCTGCCGCTCGCTGACGTATCAATTCACACGCTCCGCGCCGCCCTGGTTCCCGGCTGTCCGCCGCTCAAAATCCCGTCATCGCTCTCTCAGACATACCGCCCGACTGCCTTACTCGCGCCGGCAGGGAGCCGCGCGCTGGCCGTCGGTGCACGCGCCGCAGCGCGCTGGGCCGTACCCGCGCCGCCGGCGTGTCGTCGGCGCTGTGTCGCTGGCTCCGAATGGAATCTCCCACCGTTTATGCACGGTGCTGTTGATGTGCGTACTGCCCCGGCAGTCCGGGCGACCCGGGGTCCGGGCCCGCCGCGCGCGCCACGCCGAGGCGACTCGCCAGCCTCTCGGCTTTTAGGGTTGGCGTTTTTACGCTAAATTGCGCGATATTTTATGGGTGGAGGTGGTGGTGTGGTGGCTGTGACGCCTGGCGCGGCGGCGGTGGCGGGTCAGCGCTGGGTCACTGTCAGGTCACTGTCGGCGGCGGCCTCGTGCGTCCCGACCTCGTGTCCTGCGGCAGTGACCGGCGCGCATCCGCCGCCGCCGCCGCCGCCGCCGCCACCGCCATCACTGCTCTCCTCCGCGAGCACATAATCAGTATTTATTTCTGCTCTCGCAGAGTTGTGTTGTAAGGGTCACTGCACGCCGACACTTCCATTCAACACGCCGACACTTCCCATCCAACATTCCTTGTCTAAATATTGCGAAGATAAAATGTGGCGTACTAGTCAGTTTGTGTGTTGTTGGGAGTACCTCTCCATTTACGAACAAGGATGTGTATCTGATTGTAAATAGTTTTTTTAGTCATTTTTGTAGATGGATGTTTCATTATTACTTCTGTAATATATTTTGGCACTAACAATGTAAAATAAAATAAATCATGTCAGCGTGTATCCGTTTGTTGTTTTTCGTCCTGAGGAACTCGGACGATTCGCGAATGACGAAGGTGGAACGTGCACTCACGACGCATGACAACGTGCGTCCCGAAACACGGCTTTATTTGAAAATACAAACCCTAAATACTTATATCGGTATAGGCTTATATTTAGACCCACCATTTACTTTATCCAATCTACATCAGAGGTCACAGACAATAAGGCCACAAAGAGTTCGTTTCCTTATTTTTCGACGTACCTCAACCGTGAACATCACCGCTCTATTTTCTATAAAAAAAAAACAGCCCCCCCCCTCTCCGACATCACACGAAACATGATTTAATAATCCATTAACTGTTTCCAGAATGATCAGGTCTCCCACCGATAGGTAGGCGACCGACGGCCTGTTTTTTTTTTTTCTAGCGAAGTGATGGGAATTTTCGGCTGACCAAGTGTCAGCCTGTGGTGATTTTTCTCGGCGGTTCGACCACAATGGTGGCTGCCCTCCCGTTCGCTCACAATGGCCGGCGGCGCGTCCAGCCGCCCGCACCGACGCATTGTGTCGGTAACAATGTCCATTGCTGGTAATGGTTAGCATTGATCTTCAGCCCGAGTACCTACCGCAGTGGACGGCGGACGGCGATGCATTCAATTTGAATATTGAAGAATGCCGGAGTGGACGATTAGCAGTGGTCGTCGCTCGCCTCTCCTGGCTCTCGGGATCCGCCCCGGCGGGCCCATTTACATAATTGGTCCACTCGGGTGTGTCCGCGGGTCTGTGTGAAGTGGACTGGGCCGCCAGGGTGGCCCGGCTGGCCGGCCCGACCGTCACCCCTTCCCGACATGCCGATCATTCTGTCACCGGTCCGTCAGAGGCGCGCCCCGACCCGTCATTGGCCGCCGGGTCGGACGGCCGCGCCGCGACGACCGCCACCCGGCACCCTTTAATTACGTCCCGGCGAGCGCGGCCAGGCCGATTTCACGCCACCTTCTTGGCAACAGGAAGTGTCCGCCGGGCGATAAATCGGCCCGGCGCCGGCCGCCGCGCTCAATGGCTCCACTGGGACGGCATGGCCAATCGGCGCGGCCACCGGCGACCCGTGGAAGGCGCCCCGTTTTTATCCGGCCACCTTCCAGTCGGATTACAACGGTAGCGCAGCTGAAAAATGGCCCCCGTCCGGCCTGCAAATTCCTCAGACGCGCCGGCCCTCCACGATTTAGCCGTTCCCCAGGCCGCAACTCAATTTCTAAACCCTTTGAAGTAGATTGATGGCAGCCTCGAATTGCTTCCCTTTGAGTTCAGCTCGCCTCATTTACTTTTCTGGGGATAATTGTGAAACGTGCCCTGCTTTTTATCCCAGCGCGACCGCGACGGTTCACGCAAAAAGTACGCGCGCTCGTCCCAATAACCAAATCGAAAAGATCAGCGCGTTTTTCAGGTCAGACCCTGCTGAGTAAATAGTGAGTCGCCGGTGGCACTGGCTGTCTCACTGTCCCGGATAGGCTGGGACGAACGGCGCAGGGGCTGCCGCTCGCCCCTGTCTGATACAGCTCTATGTCCTACAGGTCTGTGGGTATGTGGACACTGCATGTTTGTTGGTCTGAGACTGACCCGGAGCGCAGCAGCGTCACTAGTTAACAGTACCGCCCAGACTGCCGGAAACATCACGGAGCTCAGACAAAAGCAAGCGAGGAAAAACCATGTGGGTCATGGCTGAAGATCACCCAACGCAAAGGCTTGTCAGAGCGCGCGCTTCTATTTATCTCCAAAGAGAAATGGTGCCCGGTCCACAAATGATTTTGCACTTACAACAAGGGGTCGATAAATCTCTGGTCTTTGTCGCCCATTTAGAGACGCCCGAACGTCTCTATTCTGTGTGAATACAAACGGGCCGTCGATCACGTGACTATTTCGGAACAGAGGCCGTCTGGGCGCCGCGAGACCACGTGACTGGGGCGGACGGCGGTGGCCGGCGGGGACAGGAACAGGGGCGCGCCCGGCCGCCGTCGGACAGAAGCACGGGAGGACACCGCGAGGAGATGTGGCCGGAACAGCACTGTTCTCCGGCGGATTAATGTGTGGAAAGTGAGCGGCAGCGCGGGCGTGCCGGCATACCCAGTGGTGCAGACGAGGCCGAACACGACCGTACCTACGTCCTGACAGAACGGAGAACGGATCACAAGGCTGGGTCAAGGTGAGCGCACAGCTGCTGAAAATAAAGAGCCTTTTGCCTTGCAAAATTTCTATAGATAAACATTTGCATAACGTTTACCTATCAGTTTTATTGATAGGTTCCTATAAGTATGCCAGTTTAAAATGCAGGACTCTCCAAGCTGCTCTCTCTGCCCTCTACCCCACCTCTCTCTCTCCCTCTTACCCCCCCCTCTCTCTCTCTCTCTCTCTCTCTCTCTCTCACACACACACACTCTCTCCTATATGACGGTCCGTTAGGAAAAACGTGACCCCTCTCGCTACCTCACTTGACTCCGGACGCACTTTACCTAATCCAGATTAGTGGTTCCTTCAGCGCAGCATCGTTGCGCTTTATTGAGAAACCGCCATGGACTCAATTTGCATTTCAAATATAACCGTAACCTGATCCCTGCAAAGCGATTGCCTCTTTTGAGCCTTTCATGCATGGCTGTTAAAATCACCATGTAACGAAGCGGTGGGCTTATAACTCAGCTTCCATTCACCCAGGAGAGTCGTAAAAGTTTGCGGTGGAAGGCCAGTTGAAATGAGAACCTGAGCCATCAGTGTAACTGACGCGAACATCACATCAAACACATACCTACTCGACCGTGCCGACATTTTATAGCTGTCGAGATGTGCATTCCATTTTCAAGCATGGAGGACAAGAGCAATGAAGATGTCCCACTTTTCGATTGGGGTCTATTAGAAATTGTAACACATTGATGGTTGCTCGCAACGGATAAATTCATCGAGCGTCAGTCATGGTCAACATTTTAAGCAGTACAATATTCGTGAAGGACTTGAATCGATCAAAAGCGATCGAGTGCTGAAAGTCCAATGTTCCGATACCTGAGTAGGCTACAGTGACCTATATAACTAAGATCGTTCCTATTATTTTTTAATTCTTTGTTAAAATGTTTTTTCCTTTTAATTAAGCGCTTTTGAAGTTTTCAGCTCTTATTTTTTTTTTTTTTTTGAACAGTTTTTTATCTTTATAACCCTTGAAACGAATCATGACGTCTCTTCGTCACAACTTTATATGCCTTAAAAGCTACGGACGTACATAAGACCTGTTTGTTTACCCTGTGGCTTTCTGTGCTGATCATCATTACAATACGCCATTGATGGGTGTATCGAAGGTCACACTTACGTTATCGGCAGCTGGCGCTAAGAAACGTGATCGAGATTTCTGGGCCGATAGCAGCATCTTCAGAGGCTGTCACCGGGCGCCGCGCAGGGGGCCAATCGAGATATCGCGACTCAGCCAGCCGCGACATCTCACTCGGAAGCTAATGGATGGCATGTAAGAAGGTATGTCACTCTTCACATGTGCGCTACACAAAACGGTGTGTTACCATGTCCAACGAGCAGGTTTTTGCAGTTGACTGTACCGAAAAGGACCTTGAAGTGGAGGTTTGATATCATGGATGGCCTACATTAGGGTCTGTTGGTGATTATAGTGACACCGTGCATACCTAACTAATGACACTTTTCAACATGTCCCAAACTGCTTACCGGTTTGAGCTGGCGTAGGTCTGTGAGCGGTTGGTTCGGCACAGAGCGGGTTGGTGCCGATACCTAGGTACACTATCTGAGCAGTGAGACGTGGCCTCAATGGGCCGCTTTACACTAGAAGACTTACAATTAGATTAGGAAATTCTATGCTTAACCCATGTTTTAGTTCTCGTACGGTTATAAAGAGTGTCAAAGCGTCGTAGAACAATATTGTGATGCATCCTCTCTCTTTGTAGCCGGAAAGCATTGCATAATCTCTCTCGTCCGATATGGCACGCACACATAAACAAATAACAATGCTCTATATGCATGACACGGTTGACCAATGACCATACATGGGCTAATAAAAAACACACATGCAGACACACATTTGAACATGAACCTATTGATCTGAGTCGCCAAATTTGCATTATTGTCATGAATCGCAGTATAAGTGAGCGATAGTCTGCATACTTGGGGGGGGGGGGGGCTCGGCCGCAGTCGCCTGTCTCATTCGCGTGCTCCGTGCAGTGACATGTGATGATGAATGAACCACTGGTGCTTTTTGTATCTAAACAGCCCCGTAAAATTGTTCGATTCGTGCAGATCGCAGATCAGTGTAGACTTTTTGATATTTTTCATAATCAGCTTGACATGCTGCAGGCATTAATGGATAGTTATGTGTTGCACGATGCGTGAATTTATTGGCATTTATCTATCACTGCCAGAAACTTCTGACACAGCCGCACGAAAGTGTCTACATTGGCTTCACCAACCATTCGTTGTTTCATTATTATTCACTTTTTCGACGCCTGAGCAGCTATTGGCTTATATAATTACATAAGCATTTAAATTTTCAAATCCTCGATGAGGCTATAGAGCACTGGTGACGAGAGTGAAATGTGACTTGTTTTTAAGTCTCATTTCGAGGACGGTGGCTGCCCCACCAATGTGGATGGACTACATGAAGCGAATAAATAAATCAATATATGAATAAACAAGCCAGTAAGAAAAATAAAACACCAAAATGCCAAAAGGTAATTTTATGCTGAGTCATGAATGTCCGTCACCTGTACTTTGCTTAAAATGATCACGCTCTGGCAGCATGGACAGCCCTGATGCCAAATCGGGATTGCGGAGGGATTTAGGTCAATGATCCTCGGTGCAAGTTTAATCCGAGAGCTTTAGTGTTGACTTAGTACATCAAAGGATACTTACGGTTAAGTCGTATCGATGATATTTCTGTGATACCTGAACAAGGTACGGGTATGGGTAGGTACTTATTTGTGGCACTTCCGTTCTACTGAAAGCTTCAACTGATTTTGCAAGT